CCTAAACCCTAAACCCTAAGGGGAAGCCTCAACCTCGGACCCTCGAAGCCCAAACCTCGAAGCCCAAACCCTAAACGGACCTAAACAGCGAACACCTATTATAGGGGCCGTAATAATTAGCTATACTACTTTGGGGGTTCCTTGCTATAATTATGGTATTATATATTCCAAAACCCTATGGTAATGATTAAGGCCTCTTTTTTGAACCCAAATCCAAGCCCACTTGGGAGTTCAAGAAATCCTAATGAGCCTGATGTGGACCCTGAGTATGAGCAATAGGATCCTTCGTGACAGGAGCCCGCTGAATATGAAGCCCTGTATAGTTCAAGAAAATCGAGACCCAAACCATCTCACAGTCTTCAAGAAAGCCCGATGAAGCATGGATAAAAGCCATGTAAACAGCACTTAAAGTTCCACACCAGAAAAGCGGCTAAACCCTGAAGCAAGGTATGCCCACGAGGGACGACTTAGCTCGGCTCCCTATGCGGAAGGCCGGCCGTTCTGCCGGGGTTTGTATGTGAAAGTCTCAGTGGTACTAGCAATGATAAAATAATGACAGCATTGATCATAGTAATAGTCATAGCCGTAGTTGTAGTGACACAGTAACTATAGGCAACCGTAAGAGAAAAATGATAATGGTAGCAGTAGTAAACTACACGTGCAGATAGTAGAACTCACCCAGAGAAGTAAAAACGTAGTAGCCGAAAACAGCAGTTCTACTTCTGTTTTTACCGATGGGAATGCTAGCTGTGGAAATAAGAACAATCCGGGTTTAGACCAGGATCATTCTTAGGGCTGCGAGGCCTTACGATGTTTAGTCTCGGGGCTTGAAAAAAATGGAAGCGGGAGCTGTCGAGAACATACTACATGCTCTATACTGGCCCTACAGTCCACATATCGACACTTCAGACCAACCATACCCTACACCTCCAACCCTACAGTCGACGCTAAACCCTAAAACTCCCTAAACCCTAAACTCCAAGACCCTATACATCCCTTAACCCTAAGCCCTAGACATTCCTTAACCCTAAACCCGAAACATCTCCTAACCCTAAGCCCTAAGCATCCCTCCCTAAACCCTAAGCCCGAAACATCCCTAAACCCTATAACCCTTGACCCTAAGCCCTAAACATCCCTAAACCCTAAGCCCTAAACATCCCTTGAACCTAAGCCCTAAACATCTCTAAACCCTAAGCCCAAAACAGCCTTAAACATCCCTAAACCCTAAGCCCTAAACATCCGTAAGCCCTAAGCCCTAAACATCCCTTGACCCTAAGCCCGAAACATCCCTAAACTCGATGAAACCCAAGCCTTAACCACTCTAAACCCTAAACCCTCAAAGCCCTAAACTCGATGCCCCCCACTTAGTTAGCCAATAGGAGAACTTTAAACTTTTTGGCTTTATATATTTGGTCTATCCCAAAAAGTTTGAACTTTTTTGGGCCTGGTTGTTGAAGAAGAGAGCCCAAGCCTTAACCAACGAGAGGCCCCGGGCTTCAAGCACCGCCAGGTCGGGTCTCTGCCGTTTGGTTTGGTGTTTAGGGTTTAGGGTTTAGGGTTCAGGGTTTAGCGTTTGGCTTGGGGTTTCCCTAAGGGTCCAAGTACATAATTAGGGGATTGGGGATTTGGAGGTTTAGGGTTTAGGGGATTGGGGTTTTAGGATTTAGGTTTAGGGGATTGGGGATTTAGGGTTTAGGGGGTTGGGAACTTAATAATCATACACTCTCCCGAATACTAGCCTACATGACTACTATCCGAAACCTAAACCCTAAACCCTAAACCCTAAACCCTAAACCCTAAACCCTAAACCCTAAACCCTAAACCGCTAGGTACCTGATTATTGGGTCCTTTGGACCCTTGGGGTTTGAGTCTCAGCAAACCATTGGTTTGATGTTTGGGATTTCGGGTTTAGGACTAAGGGTCTACTGTGGGGGGC